GAGGGGCTCCCTGACCAGTCCCCCCAACCTGGGTAAGTAACGTCTCGATGACGCCCCCCCCCCCCAACCTGGGTAAGTAACGTCTCGATGCCCCCCCCCCCCTTCATAAAGCGTGAGCATGAGCCTCAGTATTCAGTCGTAGCTCCCACTTAGTGAACGACTCGGCTAGTAATGTGTGAGTAAGTGAAAGTTTTAACCCCCCCCCCCTTTTTCAGACTTCCATAGGCTTATACCAAAATAATTAAAACATATGATGCTAAAAAGTGCTTCTACCAGAATAATAAGGCGAAAAGTTCACAGTTTTCTATAAAAAAAACAACAACCAACAACTTAATTCTAATCAGTAAGTGTTGAACTCTAATACACGCACAATTAATTCCGTTAAGAACTCTATACTCCTTATTTTTTTTATTAAATGAAACCGATTTTGTCAAAATGCAGCCAAATTAAGTTGTTTTGGCTGTTTGACAGCTCGGCTGTCAATTTTCTATTAGCCCTGTTAGATTTCCCTGACGCAGGGGCTTAGAAAAAGTGCATGCAAGGGGAGGGAACTTATGCGTGCATTCGGTTTAAATGGGAGTTAATCAGGTGTCAGAGAGCGGGTGTATTTCAGGTAACATTACACAGATAACTTTATGTCATCAGATATCAGCTTTTACCTACGTTCTTAAACTTACCGATATGAACCAACTAAATATGAACTGAACTAATATTTATAAACTTTTCCAACAGTATATGAACTGTACCAATATAAACGAACTTTAACAATATAGACCAACATGAATTTTACCAACGCACACAAGTTATACTTTATTATACCTATGTACATAAACTAAACATACATGAACTTAAGCAACATATACGAACTTTACCAACAAGTATGAACGATACCAACATACGTGATCTTCACCACTATACATGAACTAAACATACATGAACTTTACCAGTGAACATTACTAATATACACATGCAATACAAATATAGATGAACATTAACAAGATACACGAACTAAAATGACACACACACAAACTTTACTAACATATATAAACATTGCGAACACACACGAAATCTACCAACACACATGAACTACCAACAGACATGAGCTTTACAGATATAAATGAGCAGTGTGTACCTACATAAACGCTACTCGCGCTGCATATATTACACCCCTCCCTCTCTCATATACTGCATAAGTTAACCCCCTTATATGCTGCATATGTTAACCCTCCCCTATATGCCGCATATGTTAACCCTCCCCCCTATATACCGCATATGTTACACCCTCCCCCTATATGCCGCATATCGTGTTAGCTCCTCCTGATGTAATCAAAAGCTCGGGAGCTAAGCGCACGAGAAACACCTGGACAAGCAACAACCCACCTGTCTGGGGGTGGAACAGGAAGTGGGGTGGGGGTGGGGTGGGTGGAGGGAGGGAGGGAGGTGTGAACACACTTCCTAAAATAAACAATAGACAATTAGTACTCTGATTGAACAGATCGCTACAACGCCACACTGAACGTTCTTCAGGCCTTCCAGTGGTTCCCGGGGTGGTTGGGGTGGGGGGTGGGGGTGGGGCAGGGGGGGGGGTGTTAACGAAGACTATGACTGTTTTAAGTATTTGACACGTGGGTAGCTCGTGGGCAGTGGCAGCATGAAACATTTTTATAAGGTTCAATTTGAGATTGTAATTTAAAAAAAAAAAATTGTGTTAAACGGACACTCTAATGTAAGTAGTGTGGTGGGAAGTGCGTGGTAGAGAGATAGAGAGCACGGATATGAGCGTTAGGTTCATAAGGCAGTCACGTACACCCGCTCTGGGTTGATTGGTTTCCTGGTCCGAAAGGTACGTCACTTAGTAGACTGCAGGTATCCAATTTCCTGAGTCGTGGGGGTGGATGCCACACATACGCCATAGTTACATAACAAATTTGATTAACAAATAATCATTCAGCTTTAAAACTTAAGCAATGAAATTTTAAATAAAGTTTGATCAAATCTCCGCTTTTTTCTTTACTTATTTCAAATATCAGTGTTACTGATCCGGGACCCGCCATTGATGACGTCACCTGGAGCCATTGGGATGGTGGCTCACTATATCTGGGCCGTGAGATTTAACGAATTGTTCAAGAACGTCTCAAAATTTCATCTTTATCCACATTTTGAGAGGAGACTATTGGCTTGGGGGAGAGAAACTGAGGTGTGTGTGGGGGGGGGGGGGTAGAGAATGATGGAGAGAAAATAAGAAAAGGTATGGAGGTGGGAAGAGAAATTAGTGCGAGAAGAGAAAGCAAAAAGACAGAACGGTTTAAAGCGAGAGGTTTAAATGGAAATAATGGCGTACGAAAATAAAATAAAAAGTTGGTTGAAAAATGTAAAGTCACCGGGCGAAATTATTCCTGGAATGCTCATCTCAGTGGTTTTAGGAAAATTGAAATTTTATTTTGACATGTTCATCGTTTGAAATATACCCGGCCGTATTTCTCGAGTTATTTTAGTCACGTGATCGTCCTGCGCCGGTAGATTCACCCCGTCTGATGCACCTGAATTATCCCCAAACGTTGGGCGAGGGGTACAGGCAAACCTGGATGGCTGGGGTCAAACATTCTATCAGGGGAGACAACCACGCAAAGGGGAGGCAAACCCACTTAACATTGTAAACATTACCACAGGGGAAAGAATTTCACTTTTTAAAAAAGTTCAAGAGGATTCCGTGCTGTTCGCTGCCTTGTTGTTGCAGAAAAACCACTTACAGAATTTAGCGGTCTGAAAATGGTTGAATATTTTCTTGTTTTTAATTTTGTGGTGTATATATGTGGAAAGGGAGGGGGTAGAGTGGAGCGAGAAAGTAGAATGATTCCTGACAATTTCTGAAACTCATCCCAATATTTTAATGTCAAGTGTTTCAATGTTTTCTTTGATAAACACAGGGCTGTAGTTAGGTTAAAATTGTAAGCTGACTTTAAAATTCTTTTCATCTTCAAGAACATACAAAACAAGAAGTCACTATAACAAATGCTTCTGGTTTTTTTTGTCGTAAAATTGTGAAGAAGGTCTGTGATTCTTATTAGATTATTTTTGTATCCCTATGTTTCCATGTTTTCAGTTCTGTTTTGTTCTACGGATGTGAGAGAAGCAGTTAATGTAGATTAAGATGTGAGGTGTGAGGTCTACGCAGTGTTTCTTCCAGACTTTTTCTCCTTAAAGGGTGGGGGGGGGGGGGGGGGGGCGGCGGACAACATATTTCGGGGGAGGGGGGAGTGCGGACACTCGTAAAAGTATATTATGTTTTCTATATAAAGAAACAATGGGTCTACGGTGTACAGCGAGACACAATCGTCAAAACTTCTGTTATATGGTTAGATTTTAGATGCTGACCTAGTACTATCCACTCAGATTATACAAATACGGGTAGCATTTACACAGGTAATACAAACATAGGTAACGTGTAGCGAGGTAATACAGACACAAGTAGCTTTTATAGTTACTACAAATACAGGTAATATGTAGGCAGGTAACATAGACACAGGCAGGTTTTAAACTGTTAAAATAAATTGAGGTAATATTTACACATACGATACAAAATAATAAATTGAAATTGGGTCTTCGTTTAGAGGCCTTACTAAAAATGGACATTACCTGACAACCTTACTGAAAATGGACATTACCTGAGGGCCTTACTAAAAATGGACATTACCTGGCGACCTTACTAAAAAAGTACATTACCTGATGGCCTTACTAAAAATGGACATTACCTGAGGGCCTTACTAAAAATGGACACTACCTGGTGACCTAACTAAGAGAATCGAGACAACTGAGTGACCTTCAGGGAGGAAACATGAGCACACTGAGCGGCTTCATTTCTCCCAGCACCCGCCATTAAAGCTGTCTTTTACTGCAGCAAGTGTCTGGCTCGTGTTTCATAGACAAACCGTTTTACGTGGCTTGCACTGTCTCGTCCTACCTGCACTTAGGGTCCAGGCATTTACTGTCTGGGTTTTACCTGGATTTAGCGCATGAATTCGAACCGGGCTAGGATGATTGGGTAAAATCTGAACAGGCCTTCGGGTGATTGGGTAAAATCTGAATCGGCCCTGGATGATTGTGAAATTCTGAACATTTGCAAAGTGTCTTCGATTATCAAGAAAAGTTAAGCCTGGGCATAAGATTGGGATAAATAAAGGAGTATTCAGAACTGCACCTTTCGTTTCTCAGTCTCATTCGGTGATGGCGAGGGGGGGGGGGGTCGAATGTGGCGAGACAGAATGACTGTGAGGAGTGGGGATACGTGGCGGATGTTTGAGCGACAGGAAGTTAGAAAACAAGTTCAAGGACACGAATTCAAACAGTAGTACGTGACGATGTAAACAAAGGACAATGGACGTGAGTACATACGGGGGGGGGGGGGGGGTCTGTTAGCATGACGTGAGACAGTCAAAACAAATGTTTGTAGGTCTAGGACTGTTAGATAGAGATCAGACAACTGACCACAGACAGCTGACCACAGAAAACAAACCAGACAACTGACCACAGACAACTGACCACAGACAACAGACCACAGACAACAGACCAAAGAAAACTGACAGCTGACCACAGACAGCTGAAAACTGACCACAGACAGCAGACAACTGACCACGGAACCTGACCACAGACAACAGACCACAGACCACAGACCACAGACCGCAGACAGCTGACCACAATCAACTGACCACTGACCACATACAACAGACCAGAGACAACTGACCACAGACAACAGACAACTGACCACAGACAACTGACCACTGACCACAGACAACAGACAACTGACCACTGACCACAGACAACAGACAACTGACCACAGACAACTGACCACAGACAAAAGAGAACTGACCACAGACAAAAGACCACAGACAAAAGAGAACTGACCACAGACAGCTGAAAACTGACCGCTGATCACAGACCACTGAGCACAGACAACTGACCACAGACCACTGACAACTGACCACAATCAACTGACCACTGACCTGAGAAAGATTGAGCTGGTTTAGCGGCACACATTGCTCCTCTACCCTCTCCACAGCTCCCGTGACCTTGCCTTCCCTCTCCGCCTGCTGGGCCAGATAGAGGTCAAGGACGGGTATCCCACGTGACTTCACGTCTGCTTCTGTCAACGAGTTGACCATTAGCATCACCCACACCGGTCTTTTACGGCGCCAGTTGCCTGGGGACACAATTTTAAAAGTCTGTGGGGTCAAGGTTCTGGTGCGCTGAGGGTGACAGAGTTCAACCATGCACAGCGTCAGGGTCATGTCCAGCAGACGACAGTGTAGCTGCAGCAACATTTTGTGGAAAATAATCACAGCAACAAAGCTACAAAATCTCCACCGGCTAAAAAAAAAACAGCGCGCAAGTACAAAACAAAAACCATGAAAGAAATTCTTTAAGAAATGATTTCGTTAAATTAAAAACACAAGCTTTTACACACAAAAAAAGCAACACACTAAATAAGCAAACATTACCCATGAAAGACATTTGATAAAACTGTTTATACCGAATTAGTATTTTACAAACACTAATATAAGTAATAATTGTAGGTTTTATTTTATTTTAATTTTTTTTTGTAAATCGTATAGAAAATTACATTTATTAGGAGTTTATAAAAAATACAATGTTCTTAGTTTCTTGCTCGTGACCATTAGGTTTCTAGAATGGACTCAGGTTCCCTGTAATTGCTTCTGTGTAGTGTTCTGTTGGTCATTAACTGTCCGTCCATGACGCGGTCTTTCTGACACGTGATCGAATTGAAGCTTGACATTGACCAATACACTCATCGGTCAGTCTGTCATTGAACAGAACACCATAGTGGTCAGTTTATTGTTAGTAAACCTAGTGGTCAGTTTGTTGTTAGTAAACAAAACCTAGTGGTCAATTTGTTGTTAGTAAACCTAGTGGTCAGTTTGTTGTAAACCTTTGTTGTTAGTAAACCTAGAGGTCAGTTTGTTGTTAGTAAACCTAGTGGTCAGTTAGTAAACCAAGCGGTCAGTTTGTTGTTAGTAAACCTAGTGGTCAGTTAGTAAACCTAGTGGTCAGTTAGTAAACCTAGCGGTCAGTTTGTTGTTAGTAAACCTTGTGGTCAGTTAGTAAACCAAGCGGTCAGTTTATTACTGGCTTGAACATTATCTAGGCCTAACATTAGCAAGGAAATTATTTTTTTTTTCTTTTAGTACAAACAGGGAGATAACTCTATGGCTTTTAAATCTCAAATTCTGAATTTGCCAGATATTGACAGACAACAGACAGAATACACACTAGACCCACAACACACAGCACACATCATACAACAAACATCATACAACACACAGCACAGAACACACATCATACAATACACATCATACAACACACATCATACAACACACATCACACAACACACATCATACAATACACATCATACAACATACATCACACAACACACATCATACAACACACATCATACAACACACAACACACAAGACATATCATACAACACAATCATACAACACACAACACACAACACACATCATACAACACACATCATACAACACACATCATACAACACACATCATACAACATAAATCATAAAACACAAAACATAAAACACAGCACACAACACACATCATACAACAAACATCATACAACACACATCATACAACATACATCATACAACGCACATCATACAACACACATCATTCAACATAAATCATAAAACACAAAACATAAAACACAGCACACAACACACATCATACAACAAACATCATACAACACACATCATACAACATACATCATACAACGCACATCATACAACACACATCATTCAACATAAATCATAAAACACAAAACATAAAACACAGCACACAACACACATCATACAACAAACATCAAACAACACACATCATACAACACACATCATACAACACACATCACACAACACAAAACATACAACACACATCATACAACACACAGCCCATCAACAACGACTACAGCAGGCAGTGTGGTATTACCGGCGATGGCGTTGAAGAGATAGTCTGCGAACAGCCCCTTCCGCTTCTGCTCCTCGCTCATCCACTCGGGCATGCTGGTCCTGACGTAATCAAGATGGCGCTGTAGCCGGGAGTACAACTCGCTGGGCAGCAAGTCGGACAAATTCTCACCTAGGGAAATGTAACAGTTAAATGTAGATGAATGTGTGTTTTGAGTATGTATCTTAAAAAGGCGATATGAATATAAAATATAGGATGGGTGTGCGCATGCGCTAAGGAAAGGAAGCAGAGAGAGGTAGATAGAGCGCAAGGAGATGACGAAACTGAAGTCGTGGTTCTAGTAGTATAGCTGCTATATTATCTGATATCAATAAAAGACTGTAAAATCACCAATAATGTGGTTTTTATTTGCCTTTAGTTTGTGCCATGAACCCAGTCATACAAAAGGGCTGTGACAGGAAATAACAAAACGGACAAAGTCTCACCTAGGGAAATAACAAAACGGACAAATTCTCACCTAGGGAAATAACAAGTCGGACAAATTCTCACCTAGGAAAATAACAAGTCGGACAAATTCTCACATAGGGAAATAACAAGTCGGACAAATTCTCACCTAGGGAAATAACAAGTCGGACAAATTCTTACCTAGGAAAATAACAAAACGGACAAATTCTCACCTAGGAAAATAAAGACGGATAAATTTGAGAAATTTACAACTTAAAATAAAACATTTGACAAATTTTACCCGTTAAATGAAGAAGTCGGACACATTTTATCTTTAACTGAACAGGTCGGACAAATTTTACCCTTTAAATGAACAGGTCGGACAAATTTTCACAATAGGTCGCGCTAATGTAACCTAGATCAGAAACCACAGAAACAAATGACGTATTTCCGGAAGCCGCTCAGAGTCGTCTGCTCCAAACATTTTTTTTGCTACGGCTTCACCAGATTGTACGGCACCCAAACAACACATTGAGGGAGGGGTGGGGGTCTACATATATTTGATTCGCAGCTCTGTTCCTGTTCATGTTTTGTAAAATAATACATTTTTAATGCGCCGATGATGTGAACAGCACCTGGGGGAAGGTATTTATTTAAAAAGGTGGGCTAGAATTTCACTTTCTCTCGCCCGATATTTTCATTCTGGACCTCGGTGTTATGTTTCGTTTCTTTCTAAACAGCCCTCTCCTTCAACCAAGACCGGAAAATTTTCAACCGGAAGTATTTAGCCGGAAGTATTCTGTCCAACAATTTCCAAGATGTGATAACCATTTAAATGCTGTAAACGTCATTTCTCCCATCATCTTCTACATGACGTCACGTGAGAACATTTTTATTTTAATTGAACTCAGCGAAACACCATGGTCTTTCACGAAGGAGCGTGTGAAGGGGACTAGACTGGTAGAGCATTATTGCACGAGAGAATGCCATGATAAAATCACGAAAAAAGCCATGATTAAAGAAAAATACCATATGGTTTAAGCTCAAAACGAGTTAAAAAAGGTTTTGTTTGAAAAACATACAAAATAAAACAAAATTGAGCAGCTAAAGTAGTGTAGGTCTATGTAAGTCTATGTAGGTCTATGTAGGTCTATGTAGGTCTATGTAGGTCTATGTAGGTCTTTCTAGGTTTATGTAGGTCTAGATAGGTCTGTATAGTTCTAGATAGGTCTGTGTAGGTCTATGTATGTCTATGTAGGTCTACGTAGGTCTTTCTAGGTTTTTCTTGGTCTATGAAAAAACTTCTGACCTAAGGAACTATTACCGTGGGTGGCGTTAAATGCTTTTGATAATTACCCGACGACTAAACTATTACTTAATTATTAAATATTTAAAATCCTGAGACCTCTCCTCATTACATCCCCTCATTAAGTCGTGTCTTAATTATGTTAAGTTCACGTGAGTCACTGGACACACGAGCAAAATTAAAATGTCAAATTTCCTCTCTGTGGGTGTTTCTGGGGTCTCTCTCTCTCTCTCTCTTGTGGACTACACAGAAAGGATCTGTCTGGAGCTCTATAGAGAGGCGGACGGTTTCACGGCCCGCAGCTAGATATGCTTGTGTGCTAACAGTACCCCCAACCCCTCGGGGGTGAGACCACCGCTAAATCCACCTCCTTCAACCACCCACTCCTACACACACTTAGGGCCACATAAATCCCTACCACCACCCGTCCTTCCATCTCTTAGCTCAACCCCCTCCACACCCCTAAGATCAACCACCTATCCATCCCCAAAGAACCCTCCAGTCCCTCAACACCCCTAAGATAAACCACTCCCTCACCCCACATGAACACTATCTACACCCCTGACCAACCACCTCATTATTCCTAGGACCACCCCCCTCCACACCCCTAAGACCAACAACCCCTCTACTCCCTAACCACCCTTTCCTCCCTCTATACTATACTCCCTCTCGTGACCTTGACCCCACTCACCTTCAGGCAGCATCTGGCACTCTGCGAGAGCGGTTAGCGTGAAGGGGTTGGTCAGGTCCAGCTCGAAGACAGCGCTGTCGCTGTCCGTGAAGGCCAGCTTGCTGTTGTCCGGGATCCACTCCCACACGCGGTCGTAGGGCACGTGGATGGTGCCGAACAGGTAGGCGGGCGGGGTGCGCTGGATGGTCCACAGGAAGGAGTTCACGCCACGGTCCTGCAACATGGGGGGGGGGGGGATTGGTCAGTTGTAATCTAGTCAAGCATGAATTTACATAATTAAAAACAGTTGTAGTTCGTTCTTGATTGGGCAAAGGCTATGGAAGCGAATCCAAAAAGAAAAGCAGGCTGAAATCTGAGTCAACGGCGCATAACCAGTTGACATGTATCCTTAATTGTGTTGTAGGGGGATCTCTTCCAACACTAAAATTAAGAAGAAAAAGAAAAACAGTTCATGTAACTTAGTTTATGGTCACCCACGGGCCACTGTTTCGTGTAAGCCGCGCAGTAGTTTTAAACCTGCCGTGCAGTCACTTTGTTATATAGGTATATCCTTGTATTATTATTTCAGAGTGCTGCGCACACATAATACACGTTGCACAAGAGATTTTGCTCCTTGTGGGAATGTGGCCCACGTGTCAGTGCTAATGCCTAGACAGATAACCTTTGAAATAAAACTAGAGGTAAGACCACATTCAAAAAGTCACATGACAGGGGCCACCAACCAATAACAAGACAGACGAGTTTTGCTACAACAAGGTTTTAAGTTTACATCAATTCAAATCACGTGACAACCGGTCCATGACTAGACAACCCTTACCGGTACGTCCACACTCAACTTTGCACCCATCGACCCCCCCCCCCCCTTCCCCCCACGTATCACGTGTCAGCAGGTTCAGTTCCCTGCACGACATGGCCAACACGACGAATCCATTTCCTCGTCCGGTCATTGTTTTTACAGATGTGGCCGATAGTGACCACAATATTGGGCGACCTACCGCCCCTTTTATAAACATTTTTTTTAACTACAATTGCCCCAACATTTTGTTACGTCTAGCAGTTGATTACGTTACTTTATGGTTGAATGTTGTATTCAATTTCAGATTACTACTACACGTAAAAAAAAAAAAGCTATTAAATATTTCAAGTGCATGAAAATAATATACTGCATTAGATTTCATCTCGATCAAACCCATATTTATGTATTAAGAAGATTTAGCTTATCATAAACGTAAACTTGATAAATGGGTTTGTTTTGACGTGATGCCATTAAAATAAATTTGATTTTTTTTTCTGGAATTCTGTTTACTAATGGTGCGTACGGCTAGTATCTTCTTCAGAAAAAAATATAGAGTAGAAAAAAATCCTGGTTTAAATCGAGGCTACTGGTGTGTACCTTGGCAGCAGCATCAATCAACAAACACCGTACCATTGTGCTATCAACCTATGACCGATCTCCTACAAGATGATGCTATGCTACCTCAACAAAGCTACATTGGTGGCGAGATCGGGAATTCCCGAACAACACAGAAGGCGCGATCGGGAATTCCCGTCGATTAGTCCCGACCTAAGAGAGTCACCTCGCGAGGTCAACACCAAATGAGATCCCGCGAGATGTGGGACGAGAATAGAGTAGGTGTCAGCTGGAGGATGTTTGGGGATGAATCACTAGCGGCCGGGGGGTGTGGAGGTGTCCATATGAGGAGCCAGGGTGTGTGAAGGTGTCCATTCTAGTTGGACATCAATCCGTCACTACAGCCGTCTTTTCCTGTTGCTTGTCCGTTCCCATGTCGCCCGTGACAAGTGATCACGTGATAATCCCAGTGTACCCGCCCCCGCGGTTTTCCCTCTCCATGTAATTGTCAACATGCATTAGTAAAGACTCAGGTCAATTTCCCAAGTTAAAAGATCTTCATTAGAAAATTGCCGACCGGCGGCTATACTTGATCTTAACATCAACATACAATCTGACTTCTATTTTTTTTTCATCAACATACAATCGTAGTAGTAGTAGTATTAGTAGATTCCCATTTAGACCTAACGATATATTGGGCAGATGAAGTTGAGTTGATTTTGTTCTTGACCTCGGCATAGTGTGGTCAGCACTTTGCTCAGCCGCCTTTACTTTCCCCAACATAAGCCAGGTACCCATTAGAGCTGAGTGTACTCAGGGACGTGCTACAGATACTGATCGCGTATAGTGTGTGTATGTGTGTGTGTGGGGGGGGGGGGGGTTGGAACTAATCTACCTGGTCAGCAGGTAAGACAATAAGTTGATCACGTGCTGCGTTAGAGCAGGGAAATAGCGAGTCACGTGACACGGGTCAAGGTCACCAATTAACCCCTTGTGACAGACTCGGTTAACCTTAATCCCAGGGTTACCTGTAGGGGGGGGGGGGAAGAGAGATAACGTTAAGACGGCGGGAGACAGGTAACCTAGCCTAGCTGGAGCTAAATGTCTTACAGTAACAAGATTACAATGTAATGTTATCATTAAATTACAGAACAAAGATTCCAAAGTAAAGTTATTATTAAACTGCAGCTACAATGTGAAATGTAATTGTAAGGGGTTCTTCGAGAAATAGATTTCTTATATCCTACTTCTGACACCAAATGTTAGGGGGGTTTAAACCGAAGAGGTGATCTTATTCACTCATCCGTGCACCTTTGCGTGGTTACAAAGGGGTCTAATAAGACCTGAGCAAAACTAATTAAAATCTATACAACACCAATATTAAACTAAAAATAAAACATAGTAAACACACATAATATGTATTTATTTATCTTCATTTGACGTCACAAGGGTTTATATGTTAAAAGCAAAGACACAATACAAATTAGACCTGGCCAGTCTTTCATATTCAAGAAAACACCACTTGAATTTCTAATACAAGTCAAAAAGACAAAAATAATCAAACTTACATTTCGATGTGGAATTATTCACCGTAGTTACTGACATTAATTCATAGAAAACATATATAAGTGTGGATAGAAAACCTACATTTACACAACTCAGAATTTATACATATGAATGTCATTTCCTCTAGTCCTAACTTAAATACTTGCATTGCTTATGTAATCTCAGAATCACACTTGTCAAAGTTATTCTTCCTAGTCCTAATTTCACTTGTACTGCTATGTAATCTTAAAATCAAAAACGTAAATGTCATCGTCTCTAGTTCTAACTTTACTACTTGCACTTTTATGTAATCCCAGAATCACACGGGTAAATGTTATCATCACTAATTCTGATTCCACTAATCAAACACGGTTAAAGTTCATCTATGAATACTCATCAGTACTCACAACAATCTAGCTCGACACTCAAGCGGCAGGAAGTTTCCAGCCACTGAAATAAACATTGAGCCACTGGTACAAACGTTGGGCCACAAAGATAATGGCCACTGGTACAAACATTGGGCCACCAAGATAATGGCCACTGGAACGAAGAACATATCTACACGGCAGACGTTGGCCACTGGTACAACATCGGCCACATGTATAAACATCAGGTCACATATATAAATATCTGGAACGAAGCACATATGTACAGCAACAAAACATCGGCTGGGACCATAATCCAGCCTTAGTGGCCAGCCATAAGGCTGCCACCATTCGAGGCCTAGACCATCGTGTCTAGCCTCCGATACGTGTGTAGGAGAGAGAGAGGCCTCAACATAGTCGCCCTTCCTCATATATAGGTTAGTCTCACCCCCCTTATCATCTCCCTAGAGCTATAGAACCCGAGTTGGGCTCCGTCCCATCTCTCGACGTCCGAGATAACACCGGTCACTATGCACCCATGCGTTGAACACCCGATAACTGACCGCTATAGATCTTCCCGTTGTCTCAGGGCTAACGATCGTGTCATACACCGCTCGAGCTAACGCACGACCACGCGGTACTCCCGCCGCGTTTCACACCTGACAACTGACCACAACAGAGATCATGAGAAATGATTCTACCGGGACGTCCAGCGGCATGCCCGAACTCAACTTTAGACATAAATCACCGCGGGTGTCTTCCCAGCATTACGTGCCACTCATGCACCTGCATAGAGCTCGCAGCCCTTAACGACCAGAGTGAGCCGATAACATTTAATTAAATTTTAGATTTCCCCTGGCCTGCTCATCACCAATATCTTAAATTAACCCCTTGGGTTTCTGTAACTAGTACCAGTCACCTTAGCCCCTTTAATAAGCACCCAAGTTACCATTTTACTTAAAAATAAACAATATAGTACAAGCCAACATAATGTTATCATTGTATAACAGTAAGAAGATAACAATACAATGTTATCATTAAATTACAGTAACAAGATCACAATTTTATGTTATCGTTAAATTATACACATTTTTACGAGCGATGCTTTACGTTACATTTATTTTTCTTAAAATTGTGGCCAACAAAGCTAATTAACCCAAATGGTTAATGCTAGGATTAAGATGATAGTTATGTTTCAAGCTAAGATTAGCAGTAGACTTAGAAATAGGATAAGAGAACTTAATGCTTGAAATGTAATCAATCCTGTTTGGTAGCGCAGCCTGAACTGTCAAAATCCATTTACCGCTAACCCTTGTTACGCCCCTGCAAAGAATGTATTGAATTAACACCGAGTGACGTCTGACATGTCACAGGTAAACCGCCGCTGACAGCCCGCCTTGTGTGGGTTGTCAGCCATTGGTTGAGTTGAAGCACGTGATCTGTTTTGTCGTCACAAAATTCGTTGAACTCTTTTAGTCAATCTTGGAGGGATCAGTCAACCGTAGATGACGTCACGCTATTTTTGACGATTTTTACCTCCCCTTTCCCCACCAGATGACCCCCTCCTCCGCCTAAATGACGTCACACCTCAACCTACTACTCCCACCCCCACTAAAAAATAATTGAAGTTTCTGTTGTTTCAAACGTGTATTTCTTTCTAAAATAGTTTCTGGGCTCGGTCAACATTAAGTATCGCAATCAATTTATAACACAATTAAAAAAAACACATCCTTTTAAAAAACGCGGAATAACCGGCTTAAATATTCAGTTTCAAAGATTTCTTTTTCTTTTTAAAATGCAAAAGTGTGTCGTCACACTTTCTGAACCACCCCCTTCATCCCCTTCATCCCCTCGTTCCACATCTTCACAAAGTTAAGACCCCCACCTCCACCCCCAAACTCTCACCTAGGAGCGTGACGTCATTTATAGACGACCAATATTGAAGAAAAACAG